CAAAAAAAACGAATTGCGACCTGAATCTTGCGGATACTACCCCCGTTAGTAGTAGTAGTCGGCGCTCGTTTTACATCAGCCAGTTTATTATAAATCCTTCTTGGATTTTCCTCGGCAAGAAAGTTGGCAAATCTTCCACGTGGAACAAGTTTCGTGGTAGAGTTTGCCTAGACAGAGGCAGCCTTTTCGATCGCCATTCAACGGATCGTGCACGCTCACGGATTACGTACGCCCCCGCGTCTCTCCCCATATTGAAATCCTTATCCGTGGAAATTGCGAATCCTTGTTTCCATCGTGTGTTCCTCGCATACGATACGACGCCACGCCACGCCACGCACGAGTTGCTGTCGCGATTCTTTCGCGCGAACGTGTACACAAAAAGATCCGAGACGATCGCCTCGGAGGAAGATTACGCGATTATATTCCCCCTATTTTTCCCCTTCTCCCTCGTTGCAAAGAAAATTCTATGGGAATTTGGGCGACACGAGCGCGCGTAATCGGATTCCTAGCCGCGAGGAACTCGATGTTCATACCAGATCCTCCAACTTCCCAACTTCCACCACCACCAGGCCGGACAAACTATGCGAATTCGGTGACGTAATTTTCGCGAAATATTCGACGCGAGTTTAACCGATGGCTTTCAACCGTGGGGAAATTTCAAGTTCCTTTCCCTTGATTTTTTTTCGCCACAAACAAACATCCACGCGTTACGTTCCGTGTCTTCAATCTCTCGTCTCGACCGCTTTAATAAAGATCCTGGGCGCTGTTTGACGAGCGGTAAACAAGGAGGAGTTGGTTGATTTTCGTCGCTTCCCCGTGATGATGCGGATGAGACTCGGAACGAGACTCGCGGGCTTGCAAACGTTTCTACTTTATTAGAAAGGAAAAAAGAAAGAAGAAAGAAATAAGTTGTTTATCGAGATATCATCCGGGATTGCGTGCACTCGGTTGATATTAGAGGGTCTGGTTTAATATCTGGACGAATTCCGAGAGAGTTTACCGCCGCAAACGTTTACTTTCGAATGATCATAACGTTGCGGAAGTTTGGTTTCTCGAATATACGAAATGAGATGAGGATGAAGTCTAAGCGATTATTTAAATTCACTCAATTGTCCAATGTCGATTTTGGTCCACGTTTGAAAAAGAGATAATTGAAGAAGGGCAAGCGAAGTTTTGTTTAATTCTCTTGTATACGAGTTTAACGAATTTTTTCCCTCGAAACAACGATTCACAATTGAAGGAGAAAAGAAGCAGCAAACTCTAAATCTCTCTCTCTCTCTCTCTCTTCCTCCATCGAAGAGGATTAATTTCAATCCCCATCCGGGGGTGGTCAAAGTATTCGCGCAAAGGAATCTGGAATCGTTCCACTCGGTTCACGAAGGAACGATTCGAAAATTTAAGCAGTAGAGCGGAGTCAGCACTGTGGTTAACCCGGATAGAGTCGAGCAATCAGTCTCCATTAATTAGTCCGATCTCGCGGATTGCTTGATTACCGGAACAAGAGTGTATGGATGGGATAGGACAGGGATGCAACGAATGCTAAATCCTCTTTTTCCTCGATTTTCCACCTCTCTCTCTCTCTTGAATCCCCTCTTTTCTCCTCCCCTTCTTCCTTTTTTTCTCGACCTTCCCTTCGAATCGGCCGCCATATTTATCGGCAGGAACCGAATCTTCTTCCAAACTCCACCACCACCCGAATCATCGTACGATTTCAACGGATGCCAGCCCACAATCAGATCGCAAATACCGCTGGAAATGCTGATCCCGATAATTCGACCGACGATCGTTTCTGGCACCGGTCTCAACGGGGTCGA